CCTTCAATTAAAAAAAAAAAAAAAAAAAAAAATTTATACATTTAAATTAGTATAAAGAAAATAAGTATATTATTAACAGAAATTAAAAACAATGAGAAATTTTAAAAAATGTATATTCGTTTTCATGCTCATATAATTTTTTTCAGCTAAATTTTATTATAAAAATAGTGGTCGAAGGTGAAACCTATTTTATAATTTAGAAATACATTCTTATCAGTAAGGAAAATATTTTTAAATAGAGTTGAATTAATGAATAAACAGTAGTAATAACTTCTGGCAAAAACTCTTGTAAAAAAAAGCACTAAGTGCTTCTTTGTCTAAGTTCATGATTTTAAAAAATCATTTAAATAATTTCACATTAACCTCCTTTTAAAAATGTTTATGATTTGATAATACTTTCATTTAATAAGATTAAAAAAACTGAAGAACAAATTATGAATAGTCAAAGCAGAAGAGAATTCTTTTTGGCAATAAAAAATTATGTTGTATAGAAAAGATGGGAACACTGATTTTCACAATACACTGCATTTAACTCATGTTAACAAACAGTATATAACAGGATAAGTAAATGACACTGGAGAGCAGAAATTAAAAAAGATCCCTTAGTTCAAGAAGTAGAGTTAATTTCACTTCCTCAAGCATCAGACCTCTATTTTAGCTTTTGAATCTTTCAATTTCAGAGATAGAGATGCCTTATGACAGGGATCCCCAAGCCGTGGGCTGCGGGGTGCAGTGGCCTCTGCATCTGGGGTGAGGGATGCACAGTCTACTGGCGGCTAACACACACTCCTGGCTTAAAGGCAGTAGGCTGGCAGAAGCTGCTTGTACTAGGGCAGAAGTCTGCAACTGATGTCAAGGGTGTAAAAATCCTTACGACCTGATGTGGAACTCACAGAAGGGATGTCATTTTTAAAGAAATCCTTCCAGGAAACCAGAAGCTGAGAAAGGAAGGAGCAGCCAACAGCCATGTCAAGGAACATGGCTGGAAGGTTCCAGCAAGGGACACGATGCCCAATAGTGTGTTTTCAACATCGACCAGGCTCAGAAAGCACTACGCCAGCGCAGAGTCATCAAGTAAAAATCTGCTCTTTTTCCTTCTCCTTCCCTGAGCTCCCACTCCACAGGGGTCAGTTAACATACCTGCTTCCCAAAGGCAGACAGGTACCCATCTATTATAGGCCCTAGTTGAGGAAGAAGACAGGTTTTATCTGTGAACGATGCCCGAGTATGGGTTAATACAGACATCACTGTCTATAAAAATGATCAAATTTATTAACAAAACTAAATGAACAGATTCCAAGGGACGCTGGTTTAAAGGACACAACATTCAAATGTCTGAATCAAGACGCGCAAAGGTCCCTACGCACACTAGTTCCTCCAGTGGTGTCCTTTGTTCTCATTCATTCACTAAACATCCACTGAGCATCTACTATGAAGGCACTATTCATGTACCAAAGGATGTTAAAGCTAGAGACATTGCTTGCAGTCCTTACAAACTCACAGCCCAGCATGTAATATTCATCTGTGATGATGTCCCTGGTAAGAGATAACTGGAATAATTAAGATACTACCATAAAAAAGCTTTAGGTCTTTCTTGGTTTTGGTAGCAAGAAAGTTTCACATGTAACCTTCCAAGGTCATATAGCACAGAAATGAATAACTAAAAGAAATGTCTCCTTCTGTGCACCTCATGTATGTCCCAGTCCTTGCAGTTAGTGACCTACCCTGATGAAAAGTGCAGTCCTCTCAGGTCCGCTGCTCTGCAGCAGGGCTCCGATTGCCGCAAAGAAAGTCTGCTGTAATACAGCCGGGGGGACTGGAAATTCTGCACTCAGCGTTAACTGCTCCACAGCCAAGTTTCTGGCCACATGACACACGACTTCCTCCCCAGAGAGAAAGTCAACAAGACTTCGAACGCCTTCGGTGGGCAAGTCTGGGTATGCGTCCTCAAGAAACTGTGTGAGGCACGCTTGTGAAAAAGATGACCCTTGGTCAGAGAGTTCCTGGTTATCTTTAAGGTTCAGAAGAACAGCTTCTTTCTCTATTCCAAGTTTTTGGCGTTTGGCCTCCTCACTTTTAATATAGCAGCTATTAACAAATGCAGTTTTGAGAAGCTCTAAGGAAAAGTTTTCCTGTAACCGATGTCCAAATGCTTGTATTTCAGCATGGTAATCCCAGTTGGGCTTCTCTGAACTGCAAATGTAAAAAAGAAGACAGTAAGAGGTTGTAAAGAGAACAAGATGTTACAGGTATAAAGAAGAGGCATGAGAACTACAAAAATGGACTAAATATTCACCCAAGCTGTATTCCAAGCCTGCAATGTGCTGCCAGACCATAGAGAACCTATAGAACTCAGGCTGAGATCACTAACATGTCTTTAACGATGCATACTCATCCCATAAAACAGGGAAATAAAGTCTTTAAACTGTAACTCATAGAAACTAAGAATCACATATAAACTGAATTCCTTGAACACCTGAGGTCTCTTCATTCTCTGTCTCTGAGAGAAGACCGCGTCTGGCATTCCTTCTGTAATAAACTTTCCCTTTTGTCTCTAACTCTAGCTTGCACTTGAATTCTTTCCTGTGCCCAGTGAGGAACCCTCTCTCTGAGTGCAGCACTTTGATTTCCCATTGGGGCAGGGTTCGTCCAGCGCTGCATCATTGCAAAAATTTTGCATTGCGAGGCAATTTAATTAATTATATAAAGAAACTAAAAAAAGATTAAGTTTCATTTTAATGCCAGGCTTTGATTTTCTAAGCTAAAATTCAAATTGGATTACCTTTCTTTGCTAGAATTATTGTTGAATTAATTTGCCCTTTGAACAACTGCCACGCTGCCGTGGTTCTTCAACATCAGAGACTAACCCATTATCCTAACTTTTAGTTTCCTCATTTTTGCTCTAACAATGGAACTACACTTAAACACCTAGGTGTGAAATACGATCTATAATTTGACAGGTTCAAGCCATAAACAATTAATTGTATTTATCTTACAATTTCTTAAGTTTTGAAAACATCTATTTAAATAAGCAATTAAACAGTTCAGCATCAAGATTATAAATAGGTTAAAAGTCATAATCATTCCCAAGAACTACTAAAAAGTCTTTTTTTAAAGAAAGACAATAAATCCAAAATAAAACTTATTTAAGTAAAAAACGGGCAGAAAAGTACAAAAGTCTAGGTCATAAATCATAAAATGTATACAATCTATATAATCCATAGTTTCTTCCAACTATAAAAGCCTAAGATGACCATCCTCACAATAATCAAAGAAACATGAATTAGGAAGAAATTCTACTTTTCTTTGCTTATTAGTGAAAGAACTTATTACTCTTTGCTTAAAAATAAGTATAAGAATATGAACATGTATAGTCCTACCTGTAGGTGTATACACTGAATTAACTTTTTTTTGAGGGCTATATTAAAGTAGCTATCAAATTTTCATACTAAATCTCCAAAGGAATAATAACTTCAAAGCTATTCATTGTTACACTGTAAAAACACTAATATGGAACTCAAATACCCATAAATGGAGCCATACAAGAGTGAAGTGCATCTCTTTGTGCTGCCATGACCACATATCGAAGACACATTAAAGAGATAAAAAATGCTGTGGATGAAAAGGGGCCACATGCTAACCCTGACAAGCTCAGGGAAGGTCGGCAATACAAACGCAGAGACAGATAGTAACCACATAGATGGTCTGAACATAAAAATTCCTAAAAGCAAGTCATGGAGGATAGTCACACCCTACGTCTGTAGCTTCCTTGACATAAGTCAAACTTTATCTTAAGGGAAGCTGTCTATTACCTATTTGCATCTAAGATCACAAACTCTTGAAATGTCAGAGTAATCTCTTCCAGACCCTGAGAGTATAATCAGGGCATCAGAGTATGTGACCACAGAACCCTCATTGTTATGTTGTAGCCTGCATACCATCTCTATGTGCTGAAAATGTTCATTATTAACTATCCTGTACCCAGTAATGTAAAAGTATGTCTCTCCATTTGACTTTTTATCCAATCCTGGAGATTTCCCCCACTTTGCTTTTTCCCACTTCCCATTGGTAAATGGATTTCAAGGAATCTTCTTTAAGTCTCCTCCTTTGATTCTAATGCATAAAATAAGCCATAAACTGCCATTCTCTGGAGTGTTTTCTCAAGCAGCTGAGATTTTTGCTTTCCAGCATCTGTCATCAGTTTGGCTCAAACTCATAAAAATTCTCTACAGGTTTGGACGTGCTGACAACGCAAAACCTCATGTATAGTAAGATTTCATTTGAAGCTATAAAGATCTGCATCTCTTTCTGCTAGACCTTCCTTCTACTGCTGAAACAAGGTTAGGGCAAAAATCTAAAGTTGAACTGTTTTCCTTTAATTCTGGACAGCGGATTTGTGGCTGCATACACTTATTATTATTATTTTTTCTTCCTCTAAATCACAATGCTGTGAAGTGCTTTCTTCCTTCTCAGTACCCAACGAATTCTCAGGCATTACAAAACGGGCTACAACACCCACGCCCACATAAAGGTGACCCTCCAGCCGGCCTCATTTCTCAGAACTCTCGGTTGACAGGCTTCTAAGTGGGAGCTCGGAAGCGTCGGGGGGCAGACCGAGCTCTAACCCTCAGTCCACCTGCCCACGTCACATGGCTTCTATATTGCAAGCGTCCTAGGCTCAAACCAAGAGCGCATCAGTGACGAGCTACCCTCCCCGACGCTGCCAGCCGGATGCCAAGCAGGAGGCGGCCCCGGGGCCAAGCCACCACGACCGCTCCCCGAGGCGGCTCCTACCGGCGCACCGGCGGCGGCGGGGACCGGAGCAGGCGCCACCGCTCTAACTCCTTCTGGAAGCGGAAGGCGGCGCGGAATCCTTTCTTCACTCCCCGAACCGGTGGGGCGGAAGTGAGGACGACCGGTGCCAGGAGGCAGCGAGGCCCCCGCAGCAACAGCAGCCTCACCAGCCCGGATGCCATTGCAGGGGAGAAAGCAATGGAGGGCGGAAGGAAAAATAGTCGGAACAGTGTCGCGGTTACACAGTTCCCCCGGAACTGGGGAGCTGAGCGAGGCCGGGGCGGGGCCAGCATGCAGAGGGCGGGGCGGCTGCGGTTGGGTTTTACTGCGCGTGCGCGAACGCTTGTTCTTGCTGAACCTAGTTCGCGCACGTTAATGTGGGCTGGTGCAGGACGTTTGAATCCAGAAGTTTGTGAAACAAATTGCTTCACCTTGTCAGTTGCTCTCTTGTTTCTTTCTTTCTCATTAAATCAGAAAAAAAGGTGTTTCATGTTCAGTTTAAAGGAAATATTAGTTCCCAAGAAAATACTTCTTGTCAACTTATAGTTTAGTTTTAGTTTCAGACTATCGATGCAGCCACTATTTATGAGCAAATATTTACCAGGCACGTCTCCAAAAGACTTTCTTTCAAGAGCCATGGAATAAGAAATACTGACTTATCCAAAATTAAAGTTTTTATTTAAAAACAATCTAACAGTACAAACGTTTTTTAAAGCATAAAAGAAAGACTGGGGAAAAATACATCAAAACGAGAATAATGGAATTATAAATCGTTTTTTTCTTTCTCTCTCACTCTTTAGCAATATCATATTGCTTTCCTACCAAAAGGTTAATATAGCTTTTAAAAAATCTAATATTAATTTACAAAGGAAAACTTGCCTGAATTCTCAATTTTGAGTTGCCTGCTTAACATCTAATCCCTCAGAGGAGCACCTCTCTGTGATCTCTCTACTTGTTAAGGGCATCAGTGTCCCATATTGGGCTCCTATGTCTTCAATTGTTCCTGCTTCCACAAACATCTTTTATCCAGTTGCCAAGTCCTTTTTCAATTTATTTCCACAGCAGCTGCCTGATCGCTGGCCCTATCTCTCTCTCAGGTTATTGTAATCAGCCTCCAAACAGGTGTTATCGCTTTCTCCCTTAACTGGACACTGTTCACCTACACTTATCTCCCTGAAACACAGACCTGAGCATGTTACTACTTAGCTCAACAATTTCATTAGCCTCCTGATTGACACCCCCTACTTTTAAAATCGAAGGCAGATTAAGCCTGCTCAAACCCTCCAATGGCTTTCCATCTCAAAGTAATAATTCAAGTCCTTACCGTGGCCTCGACGTTCAACGTGGTCTGTCTGGTGACCCTTCTGTCCTCATTTCTCTCTGTAGTCTTCACTCACTCTGCTCCAGCCACCCTAGTTGCCTTGCCACTCTAAGAAACTCCCAGGGATGCTCTCACCTCAGGGCCTTGGCACTTGCTGTTCACTTTTCTAGGACAGTACTCCACTCATATTTTTACATAGCCTACTCCCTTCTCTCCTTGGTTCAGATGTCACTTTTTCCATGACATCTTCCCTGGCCACCTGTCTCAGGTTGCATTCTCTAGAAGTAGATGCTGACACAGAGGTTGGCACGCAAGGTGTTTATTAGGAATCAATAGCTGGGAAGGAAGGAAGATGTAACAGGACTAGGCAGATGAAGTCAGCTGCAATGCAGGCCTCACAAAGCCTTATCGAACCCAGGAGAGAGATCTGGAGCAAGTATTGCCCATCAGTGTGTCCTTGATCAGGTTGAAATGGCCAGGCCTTTATGTTCCTGTCTCATCTAGTTACTGAATTCGGTTGTCCAGTGGAGGGCATGGCTGAGCCACGGTGGTTCTCTGAAGCTGAGGTAGATTCTGAAAGAGGTGAAAGCTAAAGATTACTGACTGCCCTCCTTCCACGAAGGTGGATCTGTGTAGTATATCTCGGATCTATCACACTATCCTACATAAAAGTTCAACTCCTATAGTCCCTATCACCCTTTCCGGCTTTATTTTCTCCACAGCATTTAACATCTTTTAATATACTATGTAATTTAGTTATTTATTTTGTTTATTATCTGGTTCTTTTACTGGAATAGACGTTCTAATGATAGAGTGATTTTTGTCTCGCTTAAACACAGCAGCATTTAGAATGGTGCCAGGCTCCCAGAGGCACTCAATAAATATTTGTTATTTGAAATAAACAAACAAACAAACAAACAGTTCAATAGCCTGTCTAGCCATTATACTGTACAAGTATTGCAAGAACCAAGTCTTATTCATCTTGTCAGTGCATGGCACATAGTAGGTGTACAATACACACTTGTTGAATAGATGAATAATGAATGAATAGTATTAACTTCATCATAAGAAAGTACTAGTACAGTATTGTCCAACAGACACACTATGTGAGCCACATATGTAATTTAAAATGAATAAGCTGTATTAAAAAATAAGGAGAAACAGGTAATATTAATTTTAATATCTTATTTAACTCAATGTGTCTAAAATTTATTATTTCAACATGTAATCATTATAAAATTATTTATAAAATATCTTACATTCTTTTTGTTCTGTACTAAGTCTTTAAAATTTGGTATGAATTTTTCACTCACAGCACATCTCAAGTAGGACTAGCCACATTTCAAGTGATGGATAGACATGTGGGTAGCACAGTTCTAGTGCAATTCTGCATCTCAAGAGTCAAAATAATATAGAACGTTTGTGAGCAGGGGGTAGTTTGGAGAGTGGAGGTCTCAGGAGTCAGTGACATCCTGGGTCCCAATCATGACTCTTTAACTTACTAGCTGTTGATGTTCTCTAGCTAAAAGCCACCAGGAACACACTTGTAGTTGAACAAGTGGAATTAATCGGTTGTTGGAGGGAGAAAGCATATAATGGGAACTAGGGAAAGTCGGTGATAGAAGGGACTTGTAGGATTTAGGTTTGTGTTAGGTGATTTAGTGGAGTGTTTAAGGAAGAAGGGCTTCTCTCTGGGCTGGATGTTGTTGTAAAGTGAGTGTAATTTATGACTGGATGTCTTAAATTTTCTCTAGACGCAGGAAGACTAGACCGAGGCTAACGCTGTAATTGGTAAAAGAAACAGGAGTCACTCATATTAGCCAGAATAGGGGAATAATGGTCATTTTTGTGGTTTGGACAATGTTCATGTTCTGGCTGTGTTTAGATATGCTTATGAAGTCGCCCTGTTTAGTGTTTACATTTCAAAGGAATGAGCTGAGAGCAAGCAGCCGGCTCCTAGCAACACGGAAACCTGGCTGATAGCAGCAGGCCAGCTCCTGGAAGTCAAGAGCTACTTTTCTTTTTCTCATAGCTCTGTTACTTTAAGGAAGTTATTTAATGTCTCTGCAGTTTATTTTTCTTATCTCGAAAATAAGAACACGAGATCACTTATCTCTCCGTCTCTTAAGGTTATCGGTATTAGAAGAGATAATCCACGTAAAGCAATTGGTATGTCTGGTATGTAGTCAACACTCAATGAGTGTCACGTAATGTCTTTCAAAGATTCTAAATTGCACTATATTTTTTCACACTAACAGCTCTGAAATGGAGACGCCTTCCAAATAATGGCTTCTTAGGATGAATACAATCATTATCATTATTTTCTGAAGGCTCTGGCTTGAGGGACAATTCGTCTTCCCCAACTGCTCAATCTATTCTTGGGTGAATGCTTTTTCAACCTTCATAACTTCCCCCTCTTCTCGGCAGGCGTCCTCTGTGGCTCTCTCCCGTCCACGTAAATTTAGTTGCGCGGCTTCCCTAGGCAATACGGGCGGCGGCAGTACTCGGGAGTTTACGGCGGCGCAGCTCCCACGCGGCCCCGGGAGCCCAAGCGAAACCGGCGCGTCCCCGCCCGCCCCG